ATTAGTGTTCCTAACTTTGCCTTTTTATAGCGTCATGTTTGAACATATGAAAATTTCTGAAAATTGTTTAGTCTCACTTACTGATAGCCATCTTGTACCTGAGAAAATTTCCTTTTTATTCATTTGTTTGTTTCTCGTCTTGTGGCTTTTCCTCAAAAATGCTGTTTCCTGTTTCTTTATGTCTGCTTGTATTGTTGAGTCAGCATTTTTGTCATGTCAAAAAGCTGGCCTGTTTTCTTAAATATTGCTTTAATTTTGTACAACTGGCATTGGAAAAGCAATTAAGCCTTTCTAAAACAAGTTCTTAAATGATGTGTTTTTCCTCATAACATCTGCATCTTCCAGGGGAAAAAAATGTCTATGGAAATATTTCTACTTAAAGTCTTTTTCAAGATGCGAAGCCTTGAAGTTTTTCCAAAACCTAGCAGGAAATACTAATCTTTAGGCTCTTGGACACTGAGGGGAGTAGTAGCAGGGGAACATGGAAAGGGGGGTTAGGCAGTGGAGACTTTCTGTCCTATGGGTTAAATTGTTGTGCATTCTGGTTTGGTGTACTCATTTACTCGGAAGACAGAAAATAGAAGATGATTTTCACCTATGCTTCCTAATCTTTCTCTCTCCGGATATATGTTTTACATGTGAAAGTAATTTGATTAAATAAACAGAAATGAGAGATTGGGGCCCTTTGCCTTATACTTCATGAGTGTATCTTTTTTTTTAGTAGAATAAATATTTTTTGTCTCTAGTTTTCCTTTTGGCCCCATGACTCTTAAATTTCCATGGTGATTCTACCTTTGATGTTTTATCGGTATGCGTTCAAGTGCTGATAATTCAGTAATTCAGCCAAATTAAATAAACCTAAACTTGCTTTTTTTTTTTCTTCTTTTCCCTCCTCCAGTTAATGAAAGTCACATGGTGGTCCAGGCCTTGCGGCTTAATACCATGTCGAAGCTGACGTTTGCAGACTGTGCACGATTTGATGCACTGGTTAAAGATGTCTTCCCTGGCATTGACTTTAAAGATGTGGAGTATGCTGAGTTAAGTGCAGCTTTGCACCAAGCCTTTGAAGAAGCAAATTTGGAAATTATAAGCACCCAGGTAAACATCAACTATAGCTGTGAAAAGAAAGAGTTGTTCTGAATTAGGAGTAATGAATAATGCATTTGATCCCTCCCCCCTTATGTATTTATTTATTTATTTAGAAAGAAAGAAATCCGTTGCTAAAAAAACCCCTGAAAGTTAGATTGTATATGTATATGAATATATAATTCATATTATATATAGTTATTAATACATAATTCATATGAATGTATATGAATTATGTATTGTCCAGATACATAATGTGGACACAGCACCTGTGGCCCAAAGTCATCTTGCAGTCACTTGTGTAACTGAAAGAAAAATAGTGCAAGGAAGTTTAGTAATAAGATGTGAGCATATGGTACATAGTTCAGTTCAAGCTAGGTACAAACGCTTATTAACATTTTGGAAAATAAAAGAATTATATGAACATTTGTTTTTATCGAGCAATTGTATGTCTTAGCTGTATTTATTTTTTTTAGGGCTGAGATTTTAGGTCTGAAATTTCTTTAGTTTCGCAGTATGTCCAGAGTATGTCCAAGGAGGATTGATGTTTTTGTAACAGTAATTTAGGGAAATGTTTACTATATGAAAAATAAGTTTTTTGATATCTTTATGATTTTAATGACAATTACTTATAATTTCAAAAAAAATAGAAATAAAATGAATACATGAAAAGTAAAGAAGAAAAATATGAAAAAAGAAGACTAATTCAACTTTACATTCAGCTATTTTTTCCTTAATATTTAGATCAAGAAGGCTTTGGAATTGTATGAACAACTCCATCAAAGAATGGGTGTAGTTATCGTAGGTCCAAGTGGTGCAGGTAAATCAACACTTTGGCGGATGTTAAAGACAGCGCTTGGCAAAACGGGCAGAGCAGTGAAGCAGTACACCATGAATCCTAAAGCCATGCCTCGCCAGCAGCTGCTCGGCCACATTGACATGGACACCAGGGAGTGGTCTGATGGGATGCTTACCAACAGCGCTCGGCAGGTGGTCCGAGAACCCCGAGGTATGTCTGGGAAAGCGGGCACCGTGCCTGGTTTAGTGAACTTGCCCATTTTCAGTTACATTTTTACATTATGTTATTTTTGTTTGTGACAAGTGGTGACAATCCTAGTCAAGAACGTTGATCTGTGTTTTCCTAGTTTTTGTGATGAGAAAGTAAATACAAATAGACATCGGAAGGTGATGAGTGTAAGGAGTATCTTAAAGAATTCAGATTTAAATCAGAGTAAATAAAAAGTAATAATGTTAAAATAGCAATAGTTTTCCTTGTGTATGATATTCTGTTTTTGTGTCTGGAAATAGACATTACCTCATGGATAATTTGTGATGGTGACATTGATCCTGAATGGATTGAATCTTTGAATTCTGTTTTGGATGACAATAGATTGTTGACTATGCCCAGTGGAGAAAGAATCCAATTTGGCTCAAATGTTAATTTTATATTTGAAACTCATGATCTTAGCTGTGCCTCTCCTGCTACAATATCTCGAATGGGAATGATCTTTTTGAGGTAAGTCACAGAGACGTTACATACTTTTGAAAGTAGGCAAGTATCCTTACCTTTTTTTTCTCAAAAAGGAGTCTAAACTATGGAGAGATTTGATCAATTGCCTAAATTTACAAAGCTAATTGCTGGCACAAGTTTCCTTAGGTTTCAGATCACTTCTGAGTTGTCCTTTTAGAGCCTTTTAGCTGGTAGATCTCAAGACTTTTTGAAAGGGACATGGAGGATTGTTTCTGTGTGATCCTCCAAAGGTTAAAAAGCTGATTAGAATTTCTTACGTTAAAATATTTCTCTAAAATTATCCTAGAATTTTGTTGTTGAATTTTATGTTGAACATATCTACTTCAAGATGTGGGTATCATGCTTTTGTTTGAATTTTTTTTTGATTGAGTTAGTGATGAAGATACAGATCTCAATTCTCTGATAAAGTCTTGGCTAAGAAGTCAGCCTGAGGAATGCCGGTATAACCTTGAAAATTGGATTGGGGACTATTTTGAGAAAGCTTTAAACTGGGTTGTGAAGCAGGTTAGTGAATTTAATCAATTTTCAACTTATATTTAGATAATCCTTTTTTTTTCCCAGACTAACACTGAACTGTTCGTTCATATTAATGGAAAACTTTAAAGTAAAAAAAAATCACAGTGCTTTCTTGATAGCTGCTAGCTAATAAGGTTAATACTGAAACTGCTGTAATCTTTTGAGTTCCTAGAAAATGATAGCTTTAAAGTTATAATACTTTGAAAGCAGTTTTAACTTGTCAGATTCATGGATTCCTGTGAAATGAAATATCCATATTTGATTTTCCATATCAGATATGTCTTTCTATATTTTCAAAGATCTGAACAACTAAACTAAAAAATGAAAAAGAGAAAAATTCTATTTCTAAATTTAAATTTGTCTATAACGAAAAAGAAAATTGAAACATTGCATGAAGTTTTTAGTGGGGTGGGGAGAAATGTAATGTTCGACTCCTAAAATAAGAGTTTTCTAAAAAAAAAAAAACAGTCCGTTCAGAAAGCTTAATTTTCATAGCGCCAACTAACCTATCCTGTGTTTAAGTATGTAACTTTAACATTCTACTCAAAATTTTTAGAAAAAGATTTTTTAATATGCAAAAGGTGTAATAAGAAAATCATAGAAAATGGTTACAGGTAGATTTAATTTTATTCAGTCCAAAACCCTATACTTACACCCCAATACTACGATTCTGGAACATATATTTAGAGCCTTATTCCTCTACAGGTGTTTTTGTTGTTTTTTGTTTGTTTGTTTTCTTTGAAATATGTAGATCATTACCTGACTTCATACATCTTCTGAGGGAATTGCATTTGCATTGAACAAATGGCATGTGATGCATAAAATATTAGTTAGGAGAAATCCCTACTGCTGTGAATAGTAAACCAATAATTATGAGATCTCTGTTATCTCTTACTGGGGAGTATAAATGGTGCTGTTGTATTTTTGATATTATTTCCCCTCTGGGTTCTTTCCCTGAAGGAAATATTTAGATTTCAGCTTCAGAAACATGACACTGATGCTGGTTCTGCAAATCCCCTTTGGTGCTAAAGTGCGAAATCTATAAACAAAGAGAAATTTCTGTCATTTACAAGAGAGATTTCCAATGTACAGTTACGTTGATTTCTTGTAGAGTCTCGTAGTCTGTATGTTCTGATAGCTTGTCTTTAATGGTGTCAATAAATAGGTTCGGATTAAAATTTTCAAGTCAATGCTTAAAAATAATTTCACATCAGGTGAATTTTCAAGAACAAGAGTGATGCTGATACATTTGATCATTGAATAATAATTTTAATTAATAACTTAAAATTTACAGAATGACTATGTGGTAGAAACAAGTCTAGTTGGAACTGTGATGAATGGACTCTCTCATCTACATGGATGTGCTGATCGTGGGCAGTTTATCATTAACTTGCTACGGGGTCTTGGTAACAATCTCAACATGAAATCACGACAAGAGTTTACAAAACAGGTAAACTTTTTCAACAGGTTTATCATAAACATTTCAGTACACATGGAATGGTTAGCTATTTTCTATCTTCTATTGCTACAGATTTACAATAATAGAATTTATGTGCTTTAATATATTTGAAAACTCTGAAAAATAGGGAAGTATCTTAGAAGTAGAGAGAGGTATTATATATTACAGGCAAAGGGGATGTCTACACTGCTAAGTGCACCCCTTCAAAACAGCAAACGCTTGGCCTCTACGCGTACTGCTTTGTGCAGGGTTCCTTTGGAGCAGTGTGTGTCCATACTGCATCTCTGCGATACAAGTTATTTTTGTGTCTTTTTTTCTGTTCAGAATGCTCGAAATAATGTCGGGGGCTGTAGCGCACCTCATCCATGAAGTATCTTGCTGCATTTTGCAGAGGATTAGATGAGCATTGTGTGTTTGTGTGCTGTAAGTGGCATAGTGCTGTCTTTGTAGAGATATTATGAGGGCATGAAGGCTATAGAGACAGTGTTGGAAAACTTTGTGGTTATAGTGGTCCATACTGCCTACGGAAGGCAGTTGCTGGAGACTGTTATTTCCAGAATTAAATTTGGGTGATGTGGAGTGAATGAAATGGTTTCTTCCAAAAAGCAGTTTGGGTGCTAAGACGGCTGAGGGTTGGACTCAAGCTCTAGAATTAGCTGTTGATGCACATGAATGAATTATCTCGTTTGTGTGATAAATATATGATAAATACAACAACAAATGTTGTTGTGCTAAATGCAAAATTAATTGTTTATATTGTGGAAAGGTAGTATTTTACTGTTTAGTTAAGGACTTTATCCTAAAGCATAGGCATACTATAGTTGAATAAAGTTTCAAAGGCAGACTTGAGGTTATAAAATGTGGGAATTAGATGCTTGATTTTATAACAGCATTCTTCAGATTAACTTGAAATTGTAGATCTTGTCATCAGGAATACAAATTTAACTCTTTTTTTTTTTTTTAAGGTTTTCACTTGGGCACGAGAATCTCCACCAGATCCCAGGAAGCTTCTGGACACATATTATGATCCAGGCACTGGACAGCTAATGACATATCAACTGAAAAAACCTGAAAATCTAACAGCTGACGACTTCAGTAATCTCCAAACGCTTCCTGTCATCCAAACTCCTGACATGCAGAGAGGTTTAGATTACTTTAGACCTTGGCTAGATTTTAACAATAAGCAGCCATTTCTTCTTGTGGGTCCTGAAGGATGTGGAAAAGGGTAAAAAATAGTATCTATTTTAAGCAAAATATATTTCTAACTATGTGATGAAGTATGTAAAACTTTGTAATAATGCTTTTTTTTGTAGGATTTCTTGATTCTTTGTTACTGAATCAATGAACCTGAACCTGAATCAGTCTTCTATAGTGGCAAGTAGAAAAATTCTTTGAAAGATCTCCAGTGAAAGCTCAGGCTTGATTCAGTTGCTTGCACATGCCATGTAGTACCATTTGAATGCCACAGTGTATGTGAGGCATCTGTATGAGGCTAGTAGATAGGGAAAAGGGACATTGTGGAGCAGTATCTGTGAGGCACATGAGGTATTATCTGATCTCATTTTTGCCTCTTCTGGATTTCCTATTTAGATAGGTTCAGTCTCCTGCTGTCCTTTTGGGGGTAAGTATGATTCATAAATTTTTGTCAGGAATTTAGATCCTTATCTGAAGAGAAATTATTTTTTGAGGTACTGTTCACAAGTTGTTATTTTTGCACTGCCATTGGAAGCTTGATAATAAGTGATATGGATAAAGAGTTATATTGTGTCTCTAATGGTTGCAATTCTTAACAGGAAAAGGTTATTTAGTTTCTTCTTTTATCTCTAAGAAGGAGTTTAGCTCCTGCTTTCTGCAGTATGTATGTAGACTGTTGAGCCTTTTCTGCAGAGGCCTGATGACTTTCATGAAACTCTGTGAAAGCCTAGTGTGCATATATTGTTTCTCAAAGACTAAGTATTTATTTAATGAAGCTCTGTAATGCTCTATAATACTATTTTATTGAATTTCCTGAATGGAAAACAATGGGTAAGAGAGTTTAGTTTGGCATCTGCGACACCTGCACAGTGTGCAGTGTATACTGGAATGCATTTTAATTAAAAAAAATGTAAACTATCTTTGGGTGAACAATATTTTTAACACACGTATTATGCTTGCTCATATGTATGCACACGTTTTCTTTGTTAGGATGCTGCTTCGTTATGCATTTTCTCAACTCCGATCCACGCAGATTGCTACTATTCACTGCAGTGCACAAACTACCTCTCAACATCTTCTGCAAAAATTGAGTCAAACCTGCATTGTAATCAGTACAAACACTGGGCGAGTATACAGACCAAAGGACTGTGAAAGGCTTGTTTTGTACTTAAAGGATATCAACCTGCCGAAACCGGATAAGTGGGGAACAAGCACTCTCGTGGCTTTTCTGCAGCAGGTGAACACTTGTGTTTTTGAAAGAGATAATAGTTATCTATAAAAATAAAGAGAATTATATATACTGGAAATAGTTTAGTGTAGTCAATAAGTAGCTACATTGGTCATTTTCAGAGTTAACATCCTGTATCTGTATTGACATTGTTTTTATTTGTAGTTTGATATAATATATAGGTATCAGACAGAACTAAGATAACGTTCTTCTGCTGAGCTTGTATATATAATAAAAACAGTGCTTGCCCCAGTGGGCTGTCATCTAAGCAATGTTTGGCAGTGCAAGTTAATGATGTGACACATTCTTTTACCAGGATAGGCTAGAAGTGCAAATATAATATTTTAAGTAATTTCATGGAAAATTTGATAACATTTTCTTCCCATCATACTCCTCTTTTTTTTTCTTTCACATTTCATTAAGAGACTCAGGGTACCAAACCCATTACTACTTATTTATTTATTTATTTTATGTGATATGTATAATATGCAATTACCTTTCTGGATCTTATCTCTTTTCGTATCAGGTTAGCATAACTCATCACTTCATATATTTGTTTTATTCATTTGTACAGTGTGTGTATTATCCTTTTTCTTTCCTGAATCTGATCCTTTTTAGTGTATTTTTTTCCTTCATATATAAAACCATTCAAAACTTAGGATTTGGTCAGAGTAAAGTTTCCAGTGCTTTCCTATCATTGATGCCTAGTGCCTCCTGTCTGTTTAAGGCGAGGAACCAGTACTCACACTTCATGTTAGATGCTCATCTCCAGGGAGAGTTACTGGCTAATTTGGATAATTCAAGCCTACGTTGACTCTTACTTCCCTACAACATGTGACTCTGACTTTTCTTAACAGGATGTTAGAATTGTTTGAGAATTAACATTTTAGACTCTGTTATGAAAAAATACACCGGGACTCAGCATACTCTTATCCATTAAGAAAGGAGTAATAGTAGTATACTTCTCTCTTTTTTTTTCTCTTTTTTTTTTTTAAGTAAGATCCCTTATTGGTTATCTTTTATTAAAATATTTGTTTATTTATTAAAGGTTCTGACATACCAAGGATTTTATGATGAAAATCTGGAATGGGTTGGTTTGGAAAACATCCAAATTGTGGCTTCTATGTCTGCTGGAGGAACATTAGGAAGGCATAAACTTACTACCAGATTTACTTCTATTGTTCGGATTTGTGCAATTGAGTAAGTATGCAGAAACTCTTTTGACTTTGAGAACTCATATATAGACTTTGTTTCTGCTATTGCTGAATTAAGTTTGTACGAAGATCTGGTCTGTGATTGTTTTCTAATATTATGTGATCTTCAGAGGTGATATTGTATTTAGTGCCCCTGGGCATTAAAAACTAGTTAAGGAACAATCTGTAGCTACCCATTGTAGTTAAGTGTTTAAAGTATGTTTCCTGTTGGATGATCTTGCATTCAGTAAGCAGCTGATTTGCAGTTTTATGTTAAGGTGCAGTTTGTTTACAGGATTAGAGAAACTGAAAAGAATTTTTTTTTAAGTTTGAGCACATTTAAGGTAAACTAAGATACATGGAGATATAATTACTTTTTATTATATTTTAATAAGGAAATTAAAAATGAAATTAAGTTTTCTTTTTTCTATCTTTTTTGTTTCCATGTAGCTATCCAGAGAGAGAGCAACTGCAAACTATTTATAGTGCCTACTTGGAACCTGTACTGCAGAAAAATCTAAAGAATCACCCTGCCTGGGGTTCTTTACCAAAAATACATCAGCTAGCAGGATCTATGGTTCAAGTATATGAGCAGGTATAAAAAATTAACTTATTTTATTGGAGATGGAGAATTCAGAAATTTAAAATTTTGTTGAATCATTAGCTTGGATATTGACAAGATATTAAAAATTTTACCGATATTAAAATATAAAGCTTTATCTTTTTCACAAGGTTGATTTATCAGTATTAATGAGGTACATATCTACAGGAGCTTCTGCATATTAGAACCAAAAGGATAGTATTAAGGCCTCTTGCTTTGCCACTAATTCATTGTATGACTCTGGCAAGCATATAACCCATATATACTTTCAGTTCATGACTTATAAAATGTAGGTAATAGTATGTCTTGTTACACTGAAGAGATAACATACTTTAAAGATTGTTATGTACTCAAGTATTGTAGATACTATATAATTGCCAAAGAGATTTATGAGGATGTTCCCTTATGGACTTCAAGGACTACCTATTAAAATGTTTACACAATTAAAAATAGATGTTTAGGTGCACAAGTGCCTTTTTCGGTTCTCTCTTCCTTTTTTTTCCTAGCAACCTTTTCCTAGCAAAACACTTTAATACTTTTCTTAATCCTGTAAATAGTCTTACTGGGATAGGTGGGGTGGGTATGTAAGAGAATGACGTGTTCTGAGAATGTCCCCACCTATATAGAACAATATTAAAAAAATGTTCTCTATGCCACCAGGTAATAGGCACCAAATACCATCAGTTTCATATGATATTATCATAGTTTTCTCAAATAATCTAAGTTTAAATTTCCTCAAACCAGAATGATATAATTGATGATGACAGTTTCAATTAAAACTGTAAGTTCAAATATTCTTTCGGAATAAAGAATGAGAATTTCTATTATAACATTTGGAGTGAGTGAGTGTTTATGTAGTTTTTCGCTACACATATTTCTTTTGCATTTTATATTTGGTAAGATTTACTATTTTGAAAAGATTTTGTGTTATGTATAATAATGCTACATGAAGAAAGTCCTAGGTAGTACATGCAATTTTTATTTGCCTCAGAAATGGCACAGAATAAATATTCTAATTACAAAAAATTCTTCTGTATTGAGAAAATAGAATTTCTACTATTAATCTTCATATTTTCAACAAAAAACCCAAAAATGCATTTATAAAATATCTAAATGTATACTCTTAAAACAAACCTGTTATATGGTATTTAAAAAAAATAAATCTTTGTTTCCAATTGCTTTACAATTTAAAACATTTTTTTCTTTGACTTTTGTTTTTAGGTACGGGCAAAATTCACTGTTGATGATCACAGTCATTACCTCTTTACCCCGTGTATTCTTACTCAGTGGGTTCTTGGTTTATTCAGATATGATTTAGCAGCTGGTAAGTCACCTCTTTTACTTTCAATGATAAAACATTTCTAAAATGTCTCAAGATATTTTTAATGTTGAGGTTACTATTGCAACTTACTCATGTACTGTACTTTTAAACCATGAACAGTCTGTAACTCAACTCAGTTGAGGAAAAAAATATACATATAAAAAAACAGACGTATAAAAAAATAGACAAAAAATAGACATCCTGTAACATATAGCAAAAATGATGGCAGAAAAGCAACACTGGCAGTCGGTTAATAGGTAATCTCCACCTTTTAAGGTCTGATTGTTGTATTTGAAGTTGACAGATGCTTATGCTTTTTCAGTGATAAACAATACATTTACTCTCTGAATTTCATCTCACTTTGATGCTTCTTGAGAGGTTTGTTGAAGTTTCATATACTTTAGATACTTTTTGCTTTTTATAATAGACACTGCCTGTTTGAGGGATTTTTTATTATTGTACTGCTTATTATCAACCTTTTTCTTTCTCCTTGAAAACAATCTCCTGCTTTTTGTTTGCTTTTTTATTGCTAAGTATTTTGTTGTTGTTTGTTTTGATTTTGTACCAGTACCAAGATTCTATACCTTGTTCATTTCCAGTAGGTTGCATGCACTAATCTGGAGAACTCTTTGTAATGATATGTCTTTAATTTTATCCTGTAATGATGCATTAAAATGTTCATAATCTCTTCAAAATGTTTGCTTTTTTTTTTTCTTATGTCTTCCATATTGATGCTCTCCTGGTGGTATGTAATCTCACTTATTCATTTTTGCAATGGAAAATTTGAAAAGCATAGAATTTGTTGTAAAAATATAATCATAAACTTCTCTATAAAAAAATTATAGGATCATCAACACAAACTGCAGAATATGTATTGGAAATTGTTGCTTACGAAGCACATCGTTTATTCCGTGACAAAATTGTTGGCATGAAAGAACTCTCTATATTTGATAATATTTTAATGAAAGTGTTTCAAGGTGACTGGGGCTCAGATGTTCTGGATAATATGGCAGGTAAAGCATTTAAGAAATATTACATAAGCTTGAAACATTTGATTAGGAACTACCTAATCCAATCAGTCTGATAAAATCAGTTACCATGTAAGTATCTGCACTTCTAAATGTTTCCTTTTGTTTTCACAGATACCTTCTACGTAACTTGGGGAGCTTGTCATGAGACATGCATTGCTCCAGGACAGGCACTACCACCTCATGGGAGGCCTCTTGGCAGGCTAAGCTCAGCAGACCTGAGCGATGTTATTAAAAAAGTGAGTCAAGATAAAGGACTATATGCAAGTACAACTTCAATTTTGAAAATACACAGTAGTAAGACAAAGACATTGTTTGCAAGAAGTAGCATGCATATGCCAGCTTTAGCTTGGAGTCTGCCCTTTGACTGGGGATTCATGTCCTGAGTTTAGCCAAATGAGGGAAAGCCTGACAGGCCGTGTGGCTGAAGGAGGAAGAATCACGCAGCAGGGTTGCTTTAGCAGAAAGGCCTCAGTGTCATGCCCTGGTGACTTACCACACTCTGATGAGCAACATTTTGAGAAACACTCGTGTACATTTATGTCTGTGCATTGTTTTGAGCATTGAAATGTTTTATTAAATGTTTCCTTAATTATTTAGTAATTTCCTAAAGTAATTTCTGTTTAAAAAAGGTGGAAATATGTAGTTTGGATATTTGTCATGCTTTTAAACCATGAAGTATGAAAAATGAAACTGAAGTAGAAATATAAGTATATTAACTAATCACATCTGACTTTCAGATAACACATGAGGTCATCTACGCTTTATTGTTAAAGTTTGATGGGCTGCTTTTGCAGATTAGAGACCTATTCCTTTCCTAATTGCTCTGTTTTGCTCAAGAGACTATGAGCAAAGAAGTTGTTCGGTAGTCTACAGGAGTCTAAGTAGTCAGAGAGTTTTTTTTTTTTGACTGCACAATTGTTATCAATCGTTATGGACTTTAAAGCTGATATTTAGTTAATTATAGTGAGGACAGAATTTAATCTTAGGATCTGACGTTATATGTATTTGGCTAGGAAATCCCATAATGTGAAGTTATTCAGACATTAGCAGCCTAAAATTGTTCTAAATTTTGACAATATTAATCTGTAGTCAAAGCCACAAATCAGATGCCATTTGAGACTATTTATTTTTAATTAATTGAGTGGTACATTCCTATTTCAAGATATCAAATAATTGTAGTGTGACCTGATGCTGAGGATGTTGTACAATTCCCTTACTAAGATAATGTGTTCATTGCTGAAGAAGGTCAAGCAAGGTATTCTAATTCTGTTGTAGAAATAATTTAATTGTAAAGAGTATTAGCTTTGTCTCCTAAGCTTTCAAACCTTTCATTTCTAGCCTTACAAATATTGGGTGCTTTACTCTCCTACTACTTGTATTTATTATGAATGAACAATTTTTTTTTTTTTTTAATAGGGCATTACTCATTATGGGCGAGACAAAAAAGAGATTGAGATTCTACTGTTCCAAGAAGTCATCTATTATATGTCCAGAGTGGACAGAGTGTTAAGTTTTCCTGGAGGATCACTCCTGTTGGCAGGGCGGAGCGGTGTCGGTCGTCGAACAGTTACATCTTTAGTTAGTCATATGCATGGAGCTGTTCTGATTACTCCCAAAATTTCCAGAGGCTATGGGCTGAAGCAATTCAAAAATGACCTTAAACATGTAAGTCACTTGATGTATTACATTTTGTTGTTTTGTATGCTTGTATTAAAGAAATGGTTATGGGAATTTCAAAGGACACAAAATCGTGTGTAGGAGTTTGTGTGTGTTTTAAGGAAAACAGAATTCTAAATGAAAAACCACATTTTTGGAAGTTATTGGTACTCAGATGTATTCTCTGTATTAAGTGACCAAAACTTTTTTTTTGAATACCTGAACCCTTGTCCTGAGAGCTGTGCATTTTATAAAATCTAAGCCCGTGTGAATTTGAAAGGTTTTTTTTTTTTGGGGGGGGTGTATATTTTCATATCCGGTCCCTAATAGGATCTGCTTGACCGATCTAGCTGAATCAAGCAAAATTTTAGAGATTTATAAAGCGTGGACATTACTTAAAACATATTTTGATTATTTCAAAACTCTTAATCATTTGAATCAAGAGTTGCCAATGCCTTCAGAACACCTAAAGAAAATTCCAGAGCTAGGCCTATGTGAAAAGTGATGCAATTGCTTAACTGCTTCACATTTGGAACATTAATATACTGTAGGAAGAAATCTGTTCTAATTATTTTATGTAGACTTTTTTCTAATTTTGATATGTCAGATAAGTGATGTAATCTTTTGTAGATGTATAAGCGTAACAACCTAGATGCTATAGGAGAGAAAAATATGTAATATATAATCCTCGAGAGATTATTGTTCTCTAATGAAGCAATACCCTTATTTCATATACTGAGATTAAAATATTTTATCTGCTTCTAGGTGATGGAGCTTGCTGGCATCGAAGCACAGCAGGTGGTGTTACTGCTTGAGGACTACCAGTTTGTTCACCCCGCATTCCTCGAGATGATCAACAGTTTACTCTCTTCTGGTCAGACAAGTGCAAAAAAATTATGGTGCTATTTTACTACACAGAGTTTGTTCAATGGGACGGATTTTTTTTTTC